CCCCAAAACCCCAAAACCCCAAAACCCCTCCAATCAACGTGGAAAAGCATCAAATTAAAAATTTATATACAAAATAATTATACAATTTAAGATAAGAATGACTAGTCACAATAATAAATTTATAGATTTATTAATACGAAAGACAAAAAATCAATTTATATATGAAACCTACGGTGTAGAGCACTTCAAGCGCAGCTTTATAGAACAAGTTAAAGTTCATGGAGAATGATAATGCCTAGCTCAAGCGACACATTTTAGACTTAGATCAAAGCTTAAAGATTAACAAACAGATCATTGATAGTCTACTCATGGATAATAGTGATAAAAAGTTACAGACTATCATTACACAGATGCGATAAGATAATGAAAACCTATACTCCACAATAAAGCAACAATTCGATGAGATACAAGCCTAAAATTCAAAGATACTGATACTTGAGTAGGTTAGTACCCAATTTAAAAAGAAAGAGATGGAAAACAATCAGATATTTTTGGATCAAATTCTAAACATGAAGCAATAAATTGAAAAGAAATCATTCGTGATTGACAATAAAGAGAAAGCTTTCATGGACCTGTACAAATTCGCTAAGCAAGCCATCCCTGTAACTGATAAAAATTCAATAGGAAGGATAGAGCAAATACTACAGAATAAGCAGATCTAGGACCAGAACCTTCTAAATATGAATGTCCAATAAATACATAGTATAATCAAAGAGAAGGAAAGACTTCAAGTAGAACTTGACAAGGCATTAGTCGATCTTGATCAGCTAAAGACATTATTAGCTAAATCAACTATCCAAACATTAAACACTTAAATTTATGATGAAAATGGAGACCAAAGCTTGGAGGTTGAGTACATAGATCAAGTATATCATACCATGGAAGGAGATGGTGATGATCTTGGTTAAGGAGCAATTAATGCTAGTGCTCACTTCAATCAATAAAATCTGATAGATTAAAAGCTTTCTAAATCCTTTTAAAACATTGTAGGCAAAATGAGAAAGAAAAAGAATAGTGTTCCAGGCCTAGATTTCTCTAATCTAAAATAAATCAAGGACTATAAAGATTGGTATTCCTACTCAAAGAAGCTAGAAGATGCAATTAGACTTCTAAGAGAGAAGATAAATTAATTGGAGGAGGAGAACATCTAGATCCAGGAGAAATATGTAATGATAAAGGGCAAATGTGAAACTTTGTTGAGCTAGAATAGCTAATTGTAAGAGTAGTTAAATACTTAAAGCAACAATGAACGAAAGCAGTCAGCAGAGTATTCTTTCTCAAAAGACTTGATATTTGACAAAAACGGTAATATTGATGAGTAGACCGTCGAGTTGTAGCTTTAACAGAGTAAAAACTCTTAAAATTGGCAGTTGTAGCAGCATCAACTTAAATTTAATGCAAATGCTTAAATTAGAAAGGCAAAGCGAAATAAATCATAAGCCACCTTCGCCAAGAAAAATCTGACTCTAGCAATTGATATCATTGAGTAAGATAACATGTTGAAGCAGTAAAAATAGTTATTGGCAAATCAAAATCTTAATGACAGTTTTTCAGGCATTTAGATTAAATAGAATAAATCAGGCGATAATCAGGAAGATTCTCCCATTAGAGAAGGAGATATAGAGTTATATTGAACAATTTTGATAGTTTTAATAAAGATAATTGAGTGAACTTATAATGAATATATTTAAATAATTATTGCCAGAATGTAATATTTAAAGATTATCATTTGATTTTAATTTTTAATTGAAAAGTTGCGAGCTAGCTTTATAATACTTTTTTTAATTCATGAGCAATTATTCAAACATTTCGAATCGCCATTGTTCTCTAATTAAGCGTTTATCTCTATAATATCCTCACTGTGTTGTCAATCCTTTCTCTATTCCCTCTAATAGATTTTCATAGAACTGTATAAATATATGTCAAGATGATAATCTTACCTTTCTTGTAACTTGATAGTAATTTATAAGTTACCCTTTGAAATGATAGAATGTGGATCTGTCAACAATATTGGTATCGAGATATGGGTCTAGTGGTTTCTCTATTAGTTCATGCAAATAGTCGCAGTTCTTTTCTAGATCTTCCTGCAGGAACTGGAATAGATTAAGTTCTTTTTGGTTCTTTAGATAGTATCCGTATACATAGGTGTACTTAAGCACCTGTCTGCATTTGATTACTTCATTTATTGCTTCGTCTAAAAAGTCCAGTTCACTTGGAGGATATTTTTTTATTTCATGAAGGAGCTGAATCTTTGCCTTAATTACTGGTCTCAAAGATCTAGCATGCTTCTCAGCTTTATCATGGTTGTTGAATCTTTCGAAGTAGAACATATATCTGTCTAGCTCATTCTTAGCTGCTTGTCTTGAAGTTTCGTCTTTAGATATTTTCACATCGCCCTTTGACTTAAGTTCCTCATATTTGTTGCAATTGTAATAGCCTCCTGTTTTTTGTCCGTGTTCTGACCATTTTCCTTGGCAAAGCCAGCAGAATTCGTAAGAGCACATTTTACAAGTCATGTGATTGCATCCTTGATTTTTTTCAATAGGCTTTCTGCATTCTGGACACTGCTTAGTGTTGGCCATGATCCAGGTAATGTTCTCACTTTCGGCAGAGTTTTTATTCTTCCAAGTTTCTGTTTGCTTGCAGTCGCAAGGCCTGTGTGACTCGCTTCCACACTTGAAGCAGAATGAATTTCCACATTTACAACTTACATCACTCTCTCCATAATCTTAATACTCCACGCAATAATCACATCCTGAATAAGGACACCAACGAACATTCTTGTTATCGTCTGTATAAGCCTTACAAAACCATTTCATATAAGTCTTCATATCTTCTTTTTAGAGATACTTTACAAAATATGAGTGAGGAACAACCATATTGCAGAGATGCTAGGGACATTTACTCTGCACTGCCTGAAATCCTTCATTAACCTTTTACGATAAATATGATCTCCAATCTTCTTAGCAGAACTAATGACCACATGACATATTATCTTGTTTATTTTTCTAGCTAAATTATCCATAGCAAATCATGCAATATCCCTGATTGTTATGGGCAAGTGACTGCATGGTAAGTGGAAACTTTTTGGATAGATCATTATCGAATTCTATTCCCATTTTAATGCCAAGTCTGCGTTCATTGCTAAACCATTCATTCTACAACTTATCCATGTTCCATTTAAAGAATCGCATTATCGCTATTCCTTAATCCTAAGAGCAACCTAAAAGTTCCACTAATTTCTATACTTTTTCCAATTATCTCTTTTCTATGCTTTCGACAGTGTAAACAACATAAGAGTTTATCTGAAAATATTATAAACAATTTATATACATTAGATTTCATGTTATCATACGAACCATCATTATCGAACTGATGATGATATGAGACTTGTTCCTTATCCTCCTCATCTGGCCATCCATAATCATCCTAATCATCTTCGTAATTATTAGAGTGTTGCGATTACATTTTCTCTTTTTTATAATTCTAATAATTCTTTAAAAAATCAAAATTCATTTGTTTGACGATTGATCAATTTAATCTGAATGCCGGGGTTTTGGGGTTTTGGGGTTTTGGGG